AAAAAAAAAAAAGTTGTTAACTGACAACGAAACTTTTTTTGTTTGCGAAAACAGTGGTCATTTATTCTTGATTTTATTAAACAGAAAGTAATTTACGACAACAACAGCTCACTGTGAACAGAATCAGTTTTCTATATAAATCAGAAAAAAAGATAAAGTTGGTGATAAAAAAAAACTTCTTTTTTTTCTTTTTCTTTATGTTCTTCCTGTTCTACAAAATAAAACTTCATAACAAGGGGAACATCCGCCAAAAGTTTAGATACGGAAGTGCTGTAAGAATATAATGAATTGATTTAAGAACAAAGATTTATTTAACGAATCGAAATTTGAAGTAGGAGAAAGGAGAGTATAAAAAAAAAAAAGTTTTGTCTCAGAAGTGAATATCTTTTTTGCTTACACTGAATTTTTCTCCGATAGCTTTTTTCTGTTTCTCGGTAAATTTGTACCCGGAATACGATACTGAAAGCAGCAACAATTGGAGTTACTTTCTTTTTTTTCCCCTTTTTTTTCTTGTCTTTTTTTGTTTGTTTTTTGATATCTGTTAAGATTCATGAAGAATTAAAAATTTTTGATAATACAGTGATCAGAAAAACATTTTGAGAACCAATGAGACAAATCAAAACTTTTTTTTTTGTTTTTTCTTTTTTTTTTACTCTTAATTTTTATTCTAAAGTTTTGTGTAGAAGACACAAGAAAGCAGATGACGAAGATGAAAAAAAAAAGAAATATGACTTTTAAAAAAAATGTACAAATTTTGTTCCAAAATATTTTTGATAAATGACTGTTTATTTTGGCTGATATTTAGTGTGTTGTTTATGGGGAAAAAAAAAGTTTATTCTGCACAATGAACGACATTTTAGGTGTACATATATTTTTTGACTATGGACAACTGTATTCTTAATGTTGTTGCTATGCCGTTTTATGTTTTTGAAAGAGCACAATTTGTAAAAAAAGTTAGCCAACAAAATGGAAACTAATTGTGTGATGAAACATAGATCTGTGGCTTCTGTGATACTTTTGGCACCTCCAGTTCACCATTGAACTTCTACCATTATTACCGCTTCTTGTCATACATTTAAAAATTAAATCTTTTTCACCAACTATCTTTTTTTCTTGAATTCCACAGCTGTCACCTTTTCGACCAAACTTAGACTCACCAACAAATACTACCTTCTTGTAGTCATCAGAACTGCAGCTAATATTTTCTTTTGTAAAATCTAAATGTAATTTCTGACTTTTGAAATAAAATAAACAATTTTTTTTTTCAGTTTTTTAGCATCATGTATTAGAAACCTAAATTTGGTTACCTTTCCTGTAACTGTCAGAAGATTCACAGCTTAACCTACCTAACTTTTAGTCTAACCACTTGTAACAATCAGATATCTGTTTAGTTCCTACTAGAAGTGAATTCGTCAATCGATTTGGACTGACTTAATTTTCGTTTGTCTCTCCCTTGATATTCTTCCACTTTTTTTGCTACCTATTAAACTCTGACTCTAAGCACTTGTGCATGCAGTCTTAGTATCACCTAAAGCGTCCACTATCGTACAAAGACTAAAATTGAACACCTTCAGTCCATGCACTTCTTGTTCTCTACAGAAGTCGAGCTTGACTGAATTCAAATTTATACTAGCAAAGTTGTTCTTGAAGTTAGCAGTAACAAAGAACAAATTGAATTTTAGGAAAAAACGAGTCATTTGTCTTAATGAAACAGTTTTAAACAATTCAAAAAGCACCAGTCTGATATAAACTCACGGTTGTTTTACACTGCTTTTTCCTGTTATAGGTTACTACCTTTGTAATGAAGCACAGAAATGTGCGATAAAAGGTGCGAAACTGTCAGTAATGTTTTGTCATTCATCATACTTTTTTTTTTTGTTTCACTCCACATTTGTGCCATAAAAATCAAATTTGTATAAAGTAACAGTTACAAAAACGATAATTTTATTGGCTGTACAACTGGTGTGTCAAAGGTCTGTTATGATGAAATGCTAAAATTTGCTTTGTAAGCAATCAACTTTAGTAAAAGAGTAGAAAGGAGAGAAGAAAAAGGTGGTAGAAGATATTGGAAACGAAAAAGGAAAAAACTGTAAATACTTTAGACCATTTCGGTTTGGAAAGAAACTGTTGTTACTGACAAATATAGCTGCACTATGTTACTGTAACTGTGACAGTAGCAAAAGCCTTGACCAGTTATAGCAGCAACA